CTATCATGAAGAACCTAGGTCTCGGTGACTCTACTAATTCTTAACCCTAACTGTGGTAATTAGATATATGGGATATTTGTTTGTTACTTTGACTTACCATGGGTGAGGACCAAGTATTGGTTCAATAGCTCCGTATCTTGGGTAACAACACTATCTGCATGATATCTATTTATTGGCATTAGGGCACCGTGTCCTGGACATCCAGGTTGGTGACGTCCCCTTAAGGAACTCATAAGGATTATCGTATAAACCCTGCAGGTGGATTTAATCCGTACGATAATAAGGTTGAGTGGTACTACTTAAGGATTAAAAGATATTAATTAATTAAAGCAGTCAGAAGCTTTAATAATTAATGGACGTGCGATATCTTAAACACGGGGAATTATATCGAGTCTAATAGAAGCCCTGATTCATTTCGGGATAGGACGGGAGTGCAATATTAATTCTCTAGTGGAATGAATTAATATTTACGGGCCAAATTGTGTTCTGGGCTGAACATAAGAATTTGGGCCTGTAGGGAGCCCAAACCCTATACCTTCTAAGAGATCCCTAGGCTGGCCCAAGGACCTCTATAAAAGGAGGGGACTTCCCACGTTCTAAACCTAGTTGAGATTTTCGTGAGACACTCCAGCCACCATCGTGGAAAGAGTAACGAGAAGGGTTAGAGAAAGACGTGGGCAGTTTTCTTCTTTCAACCGTTTGGAAGATCGTCGTCCATCCGGCGTCCAAACGTGGTCGGGACACAGACTAGAAGATCGCTCAGATCGAATCAAAGCCTCGAAGAAAGGTAAACTTTCTGTTCGTCCTTTAGGAGCATGCTTAGGTTTAACCGAAATCATGTATGTACATGTTTGGTACCCGATATCGATCCGTGGGAAGGACCGCCTCGTCGGCGTGTTCCAGCACACCTTTCCTTTGTCAAACTGATTTTGGCCTGCCTCTCTACTTCATCTCTTGCTTTCAAGATTAATGGCTCTCTAAGCCAAGATATCTTCCCTACCAGAGGAATCAGACAGGGGGACCCTCTGTCCCCCTATGTTTTTCTTATAGTGGCTGAGCTTCTATCTGCTATGATCTCAAATGCAATTCAAGAAGGGACTCTGACTGGCCTGAAACTCAATAGGGAAGGCCCTGTACTTTCCCACCTCCTTTTTGCAGATGATGTCCTTTTATTTTGTAAAGCAGATGCTAGCCATGTTCAAAAGTTGTTGTCCATTCTAGAAAATTTCAGATTGTTCACTGGGCAGAAAGTCAACTTAACCAAGTCCACTATCTTTTTCAGCAGAAACTCTCCATCCCCTCTGAAACTTGCCATCTGCAATAATCTCCAAGGCATCAGTTCCCACAATTCCACAAGATATCTTGGCCTTCCACTTGGAATAGGAAAATCCAAGAAAGAGGCTTTTGATTATGTTCTTCAATCAGTGAGAGCTAGACTTCAGAGCTGGAAAAACAAACTTCTTTCCCCTGCTGGAAAAGAAGTGTTGATCAAAGCAGTGATAAGTGCTCTACCAACCTTCACAATGGCCTGTTTCAAATTACCTGGACTCATTGTCAAAGAAATTTCCAGACTTTGTGCTGCATTTTGGTGGAGTAGAGGAGAAAACCAGGACCCTGGTATTCATTGGTGGTCATGGGACAAACTGACACTACCTAAGGAGGAGCGTGGCATAGGTTTCCAGGATGTTAAACTATTCAATGTAGCCTTGATCTGTAAACAACTCTGGAGAATAACTTCACAGCCCCACCTTTTGGTTAGTAGAGTTTTAAAAAGCAGGTATTTCCCTGATCACTCAATCTTTGAGGCTACTAAAAATCCAAATAGCTCCTGGCTTTGGAACTCATGGTTAGAAGTAATGCCAACCTTCTCCCAAGGCTTCAGAATTCAGATCAGGAATGGGGAATCAACAAGAATCTCTTACTTTAATTGGATCCCATCCCTCACATCCACCTCACCTAACCTTCTGGACCTTGCAAGAGGTCACCTGATCTGGGTGAAGGATGTTCTTAACCCCACAGGCCATGGATGGAATGAATGGCTTATTTCCCAAGTGTTCAATGCTGCTGAAAGCCAGGCCATTCTGAAAATTAACTCTCTCAATCCCAGCAAAGAAGATCTCATGTACTGGGGCTTCAACAGAAAAGGAGTGTTCTCTGTATCTTCATCTTACTCTCATCTTATCAACAATAAAAGATTGGCAATGGACATTCCTCAATGCAGCTCCAACCAGGAATTGATTAGGAAGGCAAGGGAAAGAACATGGAAGCTGAGGATTCCTAACAAGATAAAACATTTCATCTGGAAATGTTTTACCAACACTCTTCCTGTCAAGACTAACCTGCTGAAGAAAGGAGCAAATATTGATCACATCTGTAAATCATGTGGAGAGGCTGCTGAAACTGTGGCTCATGTTTTCTTCCATTGTGCTCGAGCTAAAACTTTGTGGGAGTATAGTCCATTGCTGTGGGAAAACATTTCTGAACCTGATGTGGCTTTTGCAGATTGGTGGTGGCAAATCTGCTCCTTGGGAAACTCTGATACTGCAGTGGCAAGAATCCAACTCACAGCCTACCTGTTGTGGTGGTTGTGGAAGACTCGAAACATGTAGATCTTTCAAGACTCAATAATTCCAGCAAGAAGAGCTGTGATGGCTGCCTCCAAAGACTGGTTGGAGTTCTCTAGCTGTCTACATTAATTCAGTTGCCTAGTTCTAGTTTTAGTTTGTGTTTCTTTTGAGTCTGCTTAGTCTTGGTTGTTCTCTTGTTTTTCAGAATGCTTTGATTATTATGTATCTTGGTATTGTAGTTAGTCTGTGGCTTTGTCTTATTTTCATAGGAATAGTCCTCTATGCTAGGCTTTTGCAGTGGTAGAGGCGAGTATTCCTTTTCTTTTGGTCTTTTTTGTGTTATCCCGTTTATGGGTTTCTAGGCCGCTTTTCAGCGTGTCCTCTCACTTTTCGTTTTCGGCTTTTGGTCGCGTCTGTATTCGAACCTTGTTCCCCTTGAGTTATGATATAATATCTCTCGTTCCAAAAAAAAAACACAATAATTTTTAACTTCTAACAGAATATTAATAAATTCTATTTTTTAAGCTAATCAATCTGTAACACAATAATTTCTCACTTCTAACATAATATCAATAAATTCTATTTCGTAATATAATTTATATAAAACAACAATATATACTAATATATTTTTTCTATTACAATTATTTAAATTTTATACTATTATAAATATACTAATATAATATTGTATATTATAATTATTTAAATATTATACTATTATATAATTATTTAAACTTTAAACTAATTTTATATTATTTAAATTTTATATGATTATTAAAATTTTTACAATTATAATTTTTATATAATTAATAATTAATTGTATTTTATAATATATTTTAAATTTTATATAATTTTTTAAATTTCTTACTATTATAATTTTTTTTTTAAAAAGAAAAGGGCTGGCCGACCCCTTTTGGAGGCCAACACAGGCCCGACTTCAAAAGTCGTTTAGGCTGGACGAGGCCCGGCCTCAAAAGTTGTTGAGGCTGGACGAGGGCTGGCCTCAAAAATGTTGAGGCTGGATGGGGGCTGGCCTCCATCACCGGCCGGCCAGCCGTAGAGCGGCCGGTTTCGCCGGCCGGTCGCCGCAAAAAAATAAAAATAAAAATAAAAATAAAAAATTACATTTAGGGACGACATTCTTGCGCCGGAATTTGTCGGAATTCGCCGGAATTGGCCGCCGGAATTCAAACGAGAGAGAAAGGAATTACAAAGAGAGAGAAAAATTTAAATTAGGAGAGAGAGAAAGATTTTGAAAAATGAGTTGAATTTTTTTAATAAGGAAAGGGTATAAATGTATTTTGGGGGGCGGTGAGTAGTAATAAGGGGGGCGGTGAATAGAAATACCCATTGTCATTTCACTCCATTATCAACACTGGATAATTTTTATCACACCTCCCCCCTTGGATTCATTTATCCACTTATAAGAGATAACTTTGGATTTCATACCACGCCTCAATTTTATCTTGGGCTTTTATCTTAGTTAACAAACATAAGAGAAATGTGTGATAAGTAGCCTAATCGTATCTAATCCATCAAAACAAACAAAAAAAATACAATAGAAAAAGGCCTAATTGCCAGTAATATTACGACCTTACAACTTTTTACCGTTTGAATCAAACGTTTGGAATTTAGCAAGAATAACCTAACCTTGTCCTATGTTTGCAATCCGAACCCAAAATAAAACGGTCGTCGCAGTTTTGCCAGCGTGTCTGTTAATTTTATCTACGTGGACTAACTTTCTGCTGACTGCTCTGATGTGGTAAAAACCAGTATAAAAGGACTTGTGACCAATTGTTTTCCCCAATTTTCACGACCTAATTTTCACATTTCAGACTTCGAATTTTTTTTCTCTCTTTGAAAACATTGTGGTCCCATTGTTGTCGAAACTCACAATTGTATTGTTGAAGCTCACAAATTGCGGTCCCATTGAAGCGACTATGACCGACAGGTGTGCCAATCCTTTATTTTTATATTTGTTGTTGTCAAAATTTTGAAAATGAAATTTGTCATTCGAATTCGAACTTTGCTAGTAAGGACATGGGAACATTTGTTTGTTTGTGAATTTTTAATTCAGTGTTAATTATATATTAACTAGTGATCGATTTGTTAAATATGATTCTAGATTTTGACCTAAGGTTTTGAAAGAATGAAAATCTGTTTATGAATTTAGGGTTCCTCTTCAAATTAGGGTTTCGAACAATCTTGATTTGCTTACAGTTTTTTTATTTTACGTTCATTTTGAAATTAGGGATTCGAACAATTTCTAAATGCTTACAGTGTTTTGTTATTGTAAATTCATGTTGAAATTAGGGTTATGATAGAATTAGGGTTATGATACAATTGGGGCTAATTATAAAATTATGGATTATGGGAGAATTAAAGTTAAAAATATTAAATCAATTGCCCTTTTTTTGTTTTGACTGAATTGTTGAGTGTGATGCTTTTTCTATGTTTAATTTCAAAGACAAATTTGCATTGATTGTCAATATTGGAGGTTATTTTTTGAAATGTGGACCTATTGTGGACTATCTTGGTGGTAGTTTGAAGAGTATTTATGGGTTAGATGTTGATAGATTTGGCTACTTTGACCTACAAGATGAAATTTAGAAGTTGGGAGTTAACAAGTATGAAAAAATTGTTTATAGAATACCTAGTGCTGGTGTTGGAGCTGATAGTTTGAAAGATATAACTGATGATAAAGGGGTTATGGAGATTATTAGTTGTGGTAATAATAGGAAAACTGTAGTTCAAATTTATGTGGTTGGTGGTGACATCAATGATGATAGGGAAGGTGAGAATGTTGAGGCATAATTTCAGACACAATCTGCAAGCCATATGCAAGATATTGATGATAGGCAAGAGGTGAATGGTTTAAGAAGGCTGAGGCATCAATTGAGGATGAGCCTGCAGGCCAGTTGGAAGATATTATTGATAATATAGACAATTACACTTCTGTTGAACATGGTGAAGGTGATGCAGAAACTAATAGTGCATGTGTTGGATTGGGGTCATAAGAGTCATCTGATGATGAAGATTATTTTTCAACTGGGGCTAGTTAATCAGATGATGACCTGTCTGATGATCTTCTTTCTAATAATGATGAATATGTTCAGACAAGAAAAGAACTTAAAGGAGTTTAAAAAGAAAGTTCAAGATTGTGATGATGATGCAGGCTATACACATCCAATGGCTACAACTGAGATGGACTTCGAAGAGGATGAATTGTTACATAATGCACTAATCTCTGATGAGTCAGATAGTGACAGGGAAATGGATTTGGAAGGTAATTTTGTTAAAAAGAGGACAAGGTTATTGTATGGTCCCAAGTGTGATCATAATTCACTTGGCTTTCAGCTTGGCATGAGGTTTTAAAGCATTGAACAGTGTAAGAGAGCTGTGAGAAGAGTGGCAATTGTGCAAGGTAGAGATATTCAGAATATAAGGTATAACAAAAGGCAATTGGTAGTTAGATGTCAAGATGGCTGCCCTTGGAGACTTTATGCCAGTGTGATTGAAAATGAAGGTAGTGTGGCTATAAAACAACTGCATAAAGAGCATGTCTGTTATAGAAATGTGCACACTAGACAACTCACTGCTCAGTGGATTGCTGAAGAGTTTGGTGAAAAATTCAGAAGAAATCCAAACAAGACAGTTGCACAATTGGAAGAAGCAATTTATAAAAAGTTTACAGTTGTACCTACAAAGTGGAAGCTTTATAGAGCAAAGTGAAAAGTACTTGAAATGCTAAGAGGTTCTGTCATAGAACATTACTCTTTTCTGAGAAGTTATATGGCTTAGTTGATTAGGGTGGATAGAGAGGGAAAGTTTGAGTTCTTGGGGAAAATACCACATTCAAAGGCTTTTATGTGAGTTTTAGTGCTCTAAGAAAGGGATTCATCAATGGTTGCAGACCCATCCTTGGATTTGATGGATGTTTTTTGAAAACTTTCTTAGGAGAAGCCTTGTTGTGTGCCACTGCCAAAGATGGAAACAATAAAATTTATCCAGTGGCTTGGGCTGTGGTTGAGGCTGAAAATGAAGAGTGTTGGAAGTAGTTTCTCTCAATTTTGTTTGCAGAAGTGGGTATAAGGGTTGGGTTAGGATATACTTTGATTCCAGACCAACAAAAGGTGAATATTCTGTGCATTTTTTAGTTTTTGTTCTCCATTTCAAACATTAGCATGTTCTAAAATATTTTTTCTTTTTATGGTTTGTTGAATGCTCTGAGGGACTTGGCCCCAAATGCTGAGCACATAAATTGTGCTCGACATGTCTTTGATGAACTGGAAGAAGGGATTCAAGGGGCAAACTTTGAAAAATTATTCTGGAAGATTGTTCTAAGCACTCACTTAGGAGACTACAACATTGCTTTGGAGGACTTGAAGGCAGAATGCAAAGCAACTTATGAAGACTTTATTAACATAGATCCCTCAAAGTTTTGTTAGGCATTTGTCTCTCCTTTTCCTAGATGTGATATATAGAAAATAATGTTAGTTAGACTTTCAATGGGTTTATAGTAAGGGGAAGAGGAAACCACATCATTGAGATGCTTGAATTTGTAAGGACTGAACTAATGAATAAACAACATGGAAAATTATGGAGTTGAATGGACATCCTGACAAGATTTATCTTAGAATAAGATCAAAGGTAGAACAAAATAAATATTTGTCAAGAGTCTGTGTCACAAAGCATGCAGTTGGTGATAGGTTTTAGGTTACTTTAGAAGATGATCAGTTTGTGGTGGATTTGAGGAATAATACCTATACTTGTAGACAATAGGATATAACAGGAATACCTTGTGTGCATGCTTGCTCAGCAGTACACTTTCAACATATAAGATCATATAGACTTTGTGTCTGAGTATTTCTATACTAAGAGGTACTTGAGTATGTATAGCATCTCATTGGAGCCCATAAGTGGAAAAAAGATGTGGCCAGCTGCACAAGGTTATCCAATCTTACCTCCTCCTTTCAAGAAGATGCCGAGAAGACCTAAGAAAAAGAAAAGGGCTCCTGAGGAAGAAACCACATGTGGAAACAAGTTGAAAAAGTTTGGGTTGATTATGACATGTCAAAGGTGTTTGCAAAAAGGGCACAACAAGAAATCATGCACCCTGCCTCAAGTTGAGAAACCTGCTAAGTTTAAATTTCTATTCATTTATAGTACCAAGTTTTTGTTATTTTTTTCATTAGATTCTTTAATCATTGTAATTTTCTATACAGAACCCAAGGGGAAGGCCTAGAAAGCATATTGCACCCCAAACTGAGGTTCAACCACCCCAAACTGAGGTTCAACCAAATATGGTGAACATGACAAGTCCAACAGTTGAGGCCATGACAAGCCCACCATTTGAGAACGTGACAAGCACACCAATTCAAAACATGTCAAGCCCACCATTTGAGGAGATGACAACACCACCAGTTGGGAGGATGACAAACCGGTTTGTTGAGAAGATAAATAAAATGCCAGTGATGAGGTGTAGTCAACGGTCATCAGTCATACAAAAAAGAAAGAGCATTGGTAATACTTTGATATGGTAATTTTCTTGGCTTTGATACCAATAATTTTCAGTAACAATTATTTTGTTCATTTGTTTGGCAGGCAAGGAAAGATTTTGGTATCTTGCAGTATCCGGAAACTAGTAATGTTTACATGAAGTTTTTTCTTTTCTTTATAAGAATTCACTATTTATGATAATTATTGACTAGCATATGGGGTAATTATTGGATAATATAATGCAGTTGTCATCTGCAAATAATTATTGACTAGCATAAGAATTCACTATTTAGAGTCGTTTTGCCGTTTATTTCGTGTTTCGCGTCTTTGTGAGTATTTTTGTGTTTTTCGGTATTTTTCCGGTATTTCGTCGTCGTTGGTGTGCAGGTTAGAAGTCCCGAGAGGATCGAATTTCTGGAAAAAATTGGCCGTGCAAGCATAATAAAATAGAGGGTTTCGTTGGCGACAAGCAGGAAAAAACGGAATCAAATTCCGAGTCCAAACGAGTATAAACGAGCCCGAAAAGTGAAGACGTGCACCAGCTGCCCAGGCCCCGCGCCCGTGCCGCGCTGCGCC